GGGGGGGGGGGGGGGAGTTCTGTGTTTCGGGTCGGGAGTGCCGGTCGTTTCTACCTGTGCGTTTGGACAACACTGCTGCCGCTACGTGTAGCTGTTGTCTCCGGCTGAGCGGTGTTTCCTCAAAACAAAGGTATTTTGTTGCGGGGGTTGTGGGTCGTGATCGACGTCGCTGACGGTCATGGGCGAGGGCATGCTGTTGCGGGGGGACATTCAATATACAGAACGACGTTCGGAAGGGTATGTATGTATTGTTTCAATTTGAAGTACCTTTTGTGGTTCTCGCTTACATGTATTCGTGCAACTTGGGATGTTGACGACCCCGGGTAGAGATGATGAGCCGCGGGCGGAGATGGGTTTTAACTAGAGTTACTGGCAATGTGTATGATGCATGGGCACGGGACGTCGTTGTTTCAGAGGTTTGCTCGGGAATGTACCGACGGTATAATTGTAGTGATTCGAATACAGGGGCGAAAAAACAAATGAAACATGAAATAAAAAAAAACGTAGTGCAGGGGAATTGAACCCGCCACAGTGTTGAGCACTGCAGTTTGTTGTAGACCGGCCGCATCGTGCGCAATCTCTAAGAGGAGGTACGCATTGCAGTACCGTCGGCAACCTGCCCCCTCACCGGCTTGTGCGCAACGCGTCAACCTGCCAGAAAGGGTACACCTTACACTGATACCGGCAACCTGCCCCCCAACCGGCTTGTGCGAAGCGCGCCAATCTGCAAAAAAGGGTACACCTTTTCATAACTTAGGCAACCTCCCCGCTAACCGACTTGTGCATGGCGCGCCAACCTCCAAGAAAGGGTACACCTTGCGCTGACATCGTCAGCCTACCCGCTGTCCAGCTTGTAAGCAGTGCACCAACCACAAGAAATGATACACCTTGCACCGCCATTGACAGCTTGGCCCCTATGCGGCTTGTTAGCAGCGCAACAACCACCAAGAAAAGGTACACCTTGCGCCGCCATCGGCAGTCCGCCCCCTGTCCAGCTTGTTAGCAGTGCACAACCACCAAGGGTACACCTTCCACTACCATCGGCAACCTGCCCCCTGTCCGACGTGTAAACAAAGCGCAACCTCCAAGAAAGGGTACACCTTGCGCTGACATCGTCAGCCTACCCGCTGTCCAGCTTGTAAGCAGTGCACCAACCACAAGAAATGATACACCTTGCACCGCCATTGACAGCTTGGCCCCTATGCGGCTTGTTAGCAGCGCAACAACCACCAAGAAAAGGTACACCTTGCGCCGCCATCGGCAGTCCGCCCCCTGTCCAGCTTGTTAGCAGTGCACAACCACCAAGGGTACACCTTCCACTACCATCGGCAACCTGCCCCCTGTCCGACGTGTAAACAAAGCGCAACCTCCAAGAAAGGTATACCTTGCACAACCTGGCCATCGTTGCATTGCGAGGATTACCCAAGGTGGGGAGGTTGCAACTCGTGCCAAAATAAATCTCGATTCAGGTTGCCAAAAGTGCCCCTACAGCCCGGTGTGTTGGCCACCCGTGCATGTTGGGGTTTGCGAGGAATATGTATGTATATATATATGAAGAGCTAAGACGAATTTTACGACCACCCGTTGACGATTGAACATGAAGAACAATCATTTGTCCAGCGCTACTCGATCCACCATCCTGCCCGTGCGTGCTTCGTTCTACGAGAACGCGATAGCACACCACACGCACCAGCACTCTCGACACATCTCACGCGGAATCGTACCTGCAGAGGAATGTAGTTGTGACGGGCGGCAAGATACCACGGCAGGTTTTACATGTATGTCTAGAGTTGATTGGTCACATGAGGGCTACGGATGCGACCAAGAGTGAGGAAATCATGTTGCCGACACTAATTATATCACCAAAGAGAAGGTTGTACGCCATTTTCAAGCGACTCTGAACCCAACTGGGATGGTATGCCCCAATAATCTCTCCCAACGAAAAATAAGGCAGGCACCACGCACCAAAAAGTCTGAGGTATTCTCTCCAAGTGGCTGAAACCGACGAGCTTCACTCAACGTTGTGGGACGAACGGCAACAGCAAGCCGTGCCGCCTACAGGTCGTGGACTGAGTGTGTTCCGGTGCGCTAAGTCCATGGGCGAAAATCGATGGGATAGTAAGAAGATCGGCCTGGATTGGGGGCTGGTTGAGCTTTGCGGCGGGCACGAGAGGAGCAGTGGAGGTGGAGGGTGCGGCGGACGCGCGGAGCAAAGTACCCACCTGCGAGAGTTGGCAAGAGAGAGTGTTTTCGATATATCGACGGTACCCCCGGAAGATGCGGCCAAGATCATTATTAGTCAGAGATTATATGAATACGGCCAAGAAGATTCGGCCTATCTATGTAGATACATGCCGTGTGGTGCCCCAGCCGAGCCCTCTCTCACCTCTGACATCGTGCGTGCCTACCTTCACACGTGAAGACAAACTATTCTGCGCCGATCATGCGAATCATCACAGCAGGTGAGAGATGAGCAGAGCTCCCTGACTCATCATGCATGTGCACGAGGTACGGGATGACATCTACGGCTAGGCTGGTATCGCGGCAGGTGTCGAGAGATTGAGACTGATTTCTGATTTCGTTATACACTTGACTAGTCTATAGTAGACTATAGACTACAGTCTAGACTAGCTATATTTTTGTCTTCACTTTATCAGCGCTCACAGCACCAGTGCCGTTTACTCCAACCAGTGGTAACACAGAAGCGCCCCTCTCTACCCTCCCCTCCTGCGGTACGTTGCCTTCGATTTTTTATGCGAGAAGAGTTGAGCACTCTCTTCCCTCTGTACACACACGAACTAGCGCTATCTACCAGGCCAGGAGCGGAAGAGATATACCTCGTATTGTTGTAAAATAGTGTTTCGTCGTACANGAGCACTCTCTTCCCTCTGTACACACACGAACTAGCGCTATCTACCAGGCCAGGAGCGGAAGAGATATACCTCGTATTGTTGTAAAATAGTGTTTCGTCGTACATATCTCAAGAACGAGACAGTCAACTTCATGGTCCACGCCTTGTCGCCGCATTGTCACGTTGGGGGTTATCGGGTGGTCGGTCGGCCGCGCGGGAGCCCAAAGTCGCCATGCTTTGTGTAGACGTCTTGTTCCGCCCTCGCAGGAGCCCTGGGAAATTTCTGGAACGCACGAAATAAATTTCCGAACCACAGTGAAGGGCGGTTCACTTTTCGGTCCAAGTGACCTTTCGTCAACCGAGCGGCGGATACGCGTAAATCTTGAGTTGTTGAAGCATATGCGTCAGTACGCACACCGCTAATATAGAACATCCGCGCCCAGATCGCACACCGCTAATATAGAACATCCGCGCCCAGATAGCCCAAAGCACCCCCACACCCTCCCCTATGGGTGGTTTGAAGCTAATCTACCGCCTCCGCGCTCGGTTGAAACGTAGGCCACAGCTGCAACTTGACGTGAAAGCAACAGATCACGGCTTCGCGATCAAAAAAGTCCGGTGAGCGCCTCACTCTCACGCTGTTTCCATCAGTGGGTAGACGGTGTATCTTGCAGCATGGGGTACTGAACAAGCCGGATAAGCCAACGTGATGCCGTTGCTCACTCTGAGAGTACAAGCAGATCCATAGGGAAAAATATCCTGTAGATGAATGTAGTTATAGATTACCTTGGAACAGATCTGGCTCCGAACAACTACACAACTTGCACGCTCTGCTGTTGTGTCCGTGCAGGAAGCTGATATTTTCCTATCAAGATGGTGGCGCCCCGGCGCTGTGGTTTCCTGAGGATGCTAACTTGGCCGCAGAACTGGGACATCTCCAGCTAATGAAAACCATGAAAGGGGTAAAGAGCGGCCAGATCTTCCTTACGAGTAGGAATCTCAAGGTGTCACGGCAGCGAAATCGCCCGGTGAATTTCTCCACAGTCTACATCGAGAGACTTCGTACCCATTCACTAAAACATATCGTTCGTTGCCCTTCAGTAGTTCCACGCTTCCGTGGTGTTGAAATATCGGAGGCTTGATCTCCCCGGGGCTCTGAGGGTCAACATCGTAGCGTCCCAATTCCGTACGAACGTGTGGAGTCGTCGTCGTAAGCGAGAGGCCGGGCCAGATAGACCACACATACGAGATGGGTTCATCATCTTAGCTTCACATCAACACTTTGATATCCAATTTAATCAAGCAGATCGTTGGTGAGTACCGTGACACCCGCATTTGCGAAACTGGAACAAACAATGAAGCGAAATCTACAGCGTACTTATGTCCGGTGGCATCAAAATCCCACAGACCCACCACACAAGCACGCATCTACATCTCACGGTGTGGGATTAACAGCTAGACTGGGACGACGATTGAGATTCTCCCACAGCTCAACTCGCGAACTGGGGGTCATCAAACACATGCATCGAGAGCAAAGGTGGTGACGATACCAGTGAGATCCACAGTGTTTGGGGTTAGTGCTTGAGCTCGATCCTATCACACTTGGTTGTGTGGATGACAACAGGGATTCCGCTACTCTGTGGATGCGATGGATCGTGCAGCAAGAGGAGGTCATCTCGACGTCCTCAAGTTTCTTTGTCAACAGGGCCAGAAATGCACAACGGCAAGTACAAGACCTTCCATTTTTCGGTCAAATTATGGAGACATCACAGTAGTACTTGGACCGAGGACTTTGGTGTAAAACGTTGCTTCCTCTCGTGTGTTTGGCCCTAATCCGCTTGGGTCTCATCTTACTGCGGTTGGTACTGCATAACCGACCGCTTTCTATGAAACCGCAGGAAGCTATTGATGGTGCTGCAAAGGAGGGGAATTTAGAGGTAGTCGTCTGGCTTCATCAAAACACAAGTGCTGGGGCAACAAAGGCAGCGATGGTGCGAAACGATATGGCGTTGTTTGTCTTTCGCTTGATTATCCAGTTGGCAATGCTTGATTTTCATTCACAAACGTTTATCAAGTATTTGATGCGTCCGTTCATTCTGCAGGTAGAGCGCTGGCCTGGGAATGACGAGACATTTTTTGCTATATGACAGTACAACACGTTTGGAGGACTCACAAGTGATCTGGCTTATACTTGCATTTCTTCGCTCAACTTGGAAGAAAGACCTGGTATTAACACTGTATGGAGCTGACACTGGTATTGCTGCTGCTGCTACCACTGCTTCTGTTGTCGCATAGGATTATGCTGCTGCGAACGGTTATTTGCCAGTGGTGCAGTGGCTGCACGACAACAGGCGTGAAGGATGCACGGTCTCGGCCATGAATTGGGCTGCTGAGAACGGTCATTTATCAGTGGTACAATTTCTGCACCACAACAGGCAAGTACACCTACGCTTGACTCTAGGAGGCGAGTATCTTATTTATGCAAGTCCTCAGGGATTGGACCAAGAAGGCTGTAGGAGTGTAGTGACCGACGGTCATGATAAGGCCATTACTTCTCCATGCAGCAGGAAACGTACGTGTGGTACGACATGACGCAGGTGAGTCGCCCATGCATTCAAAATATTTGGTTCCCTCCGCATGACCTTGTCCATCGTGCACATACTTCTAGGTTGATACGCCGTATGCAGAACGGACGTTGCCCGATAGGCTATTTGACTTGTTGTCTTACAGGCACGAAGGCTGCACGACTGCCGCTTTCGATCGCGCCGCGATGAACAACCATGTGCACGTCATCATGTGGCTCACCGACAACCGCAGCGAGGGAGGCACCGAGAGCGCCTTGCAATGGGCAGTGAGTAGGGGGCACACAAAGGCAAGCAAACACCGGCTTATGGCCGTCTAAGGTATTCTCATGATACCCATATTGAACTAGTGGGAATACCAAAGTCAAGTCGGTAGCTAATAGGATCACATTGAACATTGAATATTTCCCTTCACTGAGACAACTGAGAGATAGACATCAAGATGTAAATGCAGGTTGTAGTAAAATGTTCTGCTTTTGCACTCGGCATCTTGAAGTGTCTGTCTAAAACAATGTTGCACCAACAGCGATTGACACGGTTGCCGATTTTAAGACCCGAAACGGCTCGACCATCTGTTCGTGTGAATTTCGTCGCGTCTGCCCTCCACTCACGTCACCCCCCGCCCTCCCACGTCCTCGGGCCTAAATTACGTAGATGGTTGCCCTTTTGTTGGCGCCGAGGAAAGACAGCGACAGTGAAGGTGTTGCTCTGCAAACGCGGGGCTCCAATACGAGCGTCACAAGCATCAAGTCACTTGACAGTCTAGGGCTCGGCCTGGACAGCCCCACCCTCAGCATTCCCCATGGAAAGGGGCACTTCCGCTTCAACTGTTCCAAGTTCGCCATGGATAAAGCAGCACAGGGAGGGCACATTGATGTGCTCCAACTACTGCACGACCAGGTGAGGCGCCATAGAATATGCTGCCTACGGTTTATTGGGGATCCTTGCTCCACTTCATAACGTCATTCCTCTTTGGTGCGACCTGGCCAACCGATCTTTGGGGATGAATCTTGTCCAATCCAGTGTGGTGACCGGAGGGAAGGTCGAAGGGTGCGACAAACGTTTGGTTGCAGAGTGAAAGCCTCGTCTCGCCTGAGCTCCCCACTGATTGGACTATTCGCAGGTCTTGATCGTGGTTTTGATCAAAGCGTCGTGCGCCGAGAAACAAGGCTGTGTGAGTCTGATTGTTTGAACGTGTTGCCGTATGTTTCTTGTCGCAGAGTTTGCAGCATCAAGCGAAAATCGACGTATTGTAATCACCGTGTAGTTGCCGCTAGTGAACAACTTGAATAACACTGTTGGGGGAATGCCGACTCGAATGATCTTGAAGCTCAGCAGCGGCTTCTACAAGTGAATACTTGACAAAAAGCCGCAAGTATGACTCTGTCAAGAGTTCACACTCGATATTTGGTCGTAGGTATAGCTTTGGACGCGTAAAGCCAAGTCCGACGTGGTTGAGGCAAATATTCTCAAGGAATCCATGCTTGGAGACTCATCATAAAAGTTCTGCTCTACCGTGACAGGCATGCCACTGTCCTTCGCGCAGTTGTGACCGCGAATACATCGTCGCCCCCCAGTATCTTGTAGACGACATCATTGTTTTTTCGTCCGAAGAGCTTAGAGGATGCTACACTGCTGTTTCCCAGGGCCATGAGTGTACGACCAACGCCATGGACTGGGCTGCGGCGTTCGGAAAAACAGAGACAGTCAAGTGGCTCTCCGAGAATCGCGAAGAAGGGTGCACGAAAGATGCAATAGGTGAGATATAGACTACGGCAGGAATGTTATGATATTGTGGCGCACTGGCATTTCTACAGACCAGCATTGGATATGATCAAGTATACGTATGGCTGGCATCGCTCAGTTCGTGTCCACTCCGGAAACGCCTAACCTTAATGTAGATATGCGTGTCGGCAGCCATTACTCAATCTATTGCAGCATGGACGTGTCACCGGCTTGAGTTACATCGGGTGGGACATCAATATGTTCCGCCGCCCGAAAGCACGAACGACTCCAGCGTCATCTTGAGAAGACTGCTTGCGTGGACATCGTTGCTCGTAGAGGTATCATGCGTCACGATACAAAGGTTTTTGAATCCCAACATCGACAACCGGCGTCCTTCGTTTGAGATGCAACACGACCATCGAGTCCTCGTGTGTTGGAAAACAATGCAAGTGGTTTACACCCATGAAATGTGCTCAACGTGACTCAGTTGGTTCTCAGAGGGCCGTCTGTTTGAGAGGGATTATCTTCTCCCGATATAGGCTACCACACACCATATCCACATCCTTTATCGAGGTTTTCCCGACGTCACACGTCAGACCACGCGGCAGCTGGCGGGCACCTGGAGACGGTCCAGTGGTTGCACGAAAACAGAAGAGAGGGGTGCACGCGCTTCGCCTTGACTGATGCTGCCGGAAACGGTCACATGGAGACTGTCAAGTGGCTTCACCGAAACAGACCCGAGGGGTGCGGTCGCCGGGCAATGGTGAGAGCGCCGGAGCGTCATCGCGTTTTCACTATTATTCTCGAGAAACTGTTTCAACGAAAAACAGAACCTTATGGTCCTAGTGGGTTGGCTGGACCGGGAGCCTCAGGACATGCATCACCTGAGTAGAGAAAACATTCATCACACCACCGTCGACGAGATACGGCGCTGCGGTGGCAACTCGCTACACAAATCAGGAGTTCCATTTTCTTCGAATCTCGTTCAAAACAACTTCGCAGTTCAAGCATGTTCGCCGAAAGGGACAGCCAAGTATTCGATATCGCGTTCCCAACGTGACCCTCAAGTAGCGTAGACAAATGAAAGGCTAAGGATGCGTAGGCTGCCGTCTTCACACCCAGGGGAACCTGCCCCTGGCTTGGCATCATGCTACACTAGCTCGCAAAACGTGTGTGGCAAAGAATCAATAAAGAAGATTGTGCTTTGAACACCGACAGTTATTCGGATATTTTTATGTCGATCACAACATAACAGGATGATGCTGCTGCAAACGGGCACGTTAAGATGGTTCGCTGGCTGTATGATAACAGGTGCGACCACATTGATGACACCCCCGAAAATTCTTCATCGCATCCTACCGCTGCCTGCGAGGGTTGTAGACCAACATATTTCATCGCATCCTTCAGCTCAGGAGGGATTCTTGACCCCAAAGACAACAGTTTTGGCTCACTTCCAAGCGTGCCGCAGACAGACAGGCTTGCTGTAGACTCCTGCTATCGCCAACACCCAGGTCCGCACAGGTCGCCCGCGTGAGATTTCATGGGTACCGTTATGATCTGTAACACTGCTTTCAAGGGAAACGCGAGTGGGCTATTTGCACTTGCACCTTGTGCCGACAGGTTGGAGGGATGCTCAAGGGAAGCAATGGAGCGCGCTGCTCGAAATGGGCACCTGGAGGTGGTGAAGCTGCTTCACGACAGAGGAGCGACCTGCACGTCAACGGCTGTTCACCTAGCCCAAGTGCACGGGCACCACGGTGTCTACCGCTTCCTCAACGCCATGTACCCTGGGAAGGTAATCTGAGTGGAATCATGCGAGTTGGACAACTATTGAGCCAGTTGTGAATCGAACACCGGTTCCTTTCCATCATTCATGAGGTGGACAATTTCCCAGAGATATTCCCGTAAACAGTTGGTGGTAGTGTTTGCGACAGTGACAAGCGCCACGTGTGAACACTCCAAGATTTACCGGCCATCATGAGCCGTTTGTGTCACGGTCTGTGTTTTTTTAAAAATGTTTCCCAGGATATGAACAAACGGGTAGAGGGGAGGGGGGGATCTCACGGACTAACCCTCCTGGAACAGCCACTAGCCGTCTACACCCAGCACATGAGGAACGCATTGCTTGTCTGTTGTGGCTAATAGCAGCAACCGTCTTGGTGCCGATGATTTTCACTACCTCGGAGACAAGGAAGCAATGTAAATAGCACATTTTAGTGACCATGTGCACTCTGCATTTAACAATATGTTCATGGTGGGGGTGATCGGGGTGAGGTCGCCGCGGATGGTGTGCAAAGGTCTTTTTATTTGCAAAGCTTTCCTCGAAAGGCGAGCACGGCGTTTCAAGCACATTTCAGCTCTTTGTTCTTTTCTGCCGGGTACACGGTAGCGGAGAGGTAGGTGCAACGTGCATCTATTACCGCAGCTTGGCACGAGACGATAGGCTTACCGCCGTAAGACAACATCCTCGAAGGGGTCGCCCACGCTGCACCATTAATAGAAACGTGATGCTCGCATTTTTTCCAAAAGAACCCTAGAACGATCAAACCGACGTGTGTGTTCGACGGCAGTAGGCGTTCCGGCGTTGTCTTGGGGGTTGAGTCGTGCACACCTTAACGGTGCACCTTTGGGCTTCTACGTGCCAGACATTCGAACAGGTACACATTTCCGAAACGACTACGCCCATGGGCTGTTTTTTCCGACATCGCGGAGTCGAAGCGTACGATACAACTCAAACGTTGGTCACTTTTCAATGGTTCGAACCCGACGTTCTCAGGCATCACCGTTCGACGCGTTCTCGGACCCGACCGTGGTGGCGGAGCAGGAAATGGTGGATCAGGACAAAAGCTTGGACTTGGTGGTGCAACGAGTGAGAACCATACGTCGCAGTAAGATCAGGGTCGATCGTGGTCTACCCACGAGAAGATTCGGTTGGATTTCAAAACCGTGATCCATCATCAGTGCAGTCAAGTGCGTACACTAACACAGGGTGGTCCTTGCGTGATTGTGTGTTCCCTGAGAAAGAGAACAGCTGGGAACACTTCGCAATTCCTGTTGTATGGAAAGTAGTCCTGGGCGCTTTGACACGTGCACGACTTAGGACTCGAGATGGCATCGACCTGTCTTGTGTTCCGCTCCTCGCGGCGTCAAAGCGAAAAAGGCCGTCCTGGTTTCTGGGTACTCGTGTTGGCGCACGAACCATCTCACAGGTCTTCGCTTGAGAACCTCCACCTTTTCGTTACAACTACGGTAGTGGTTTTCTTCTTGGCCTTCCAAGTTATCCATCGCTTGTTGGGCAGGATGGGCCAGAGCGATACGTTTCGCAAGATAGATGCCGCCTGACTGCTCCTTTCCTTTCCGCGCCTTACCTTTTACCGCGCTCCCAATTATGGTGTTATTCATCGGCTTCGACACCTCGTTCGCTTCACCAGGAGGCGCGGCGGCGGCGGCAATCCGTCATCTTTGCCGACACGGTCGAAGCCTCGGAATCTCGACGTCGGGCGTCGCTACCAATACCATTTGGGCACAATGGGAAGCCGGCACTCAGCCGCATTAATACGTTCGCACTGTAGCCTGGCAGAATGTGAATCCCGTAGATTAGTGACCGTTTCCCTGCTCGGTAGGTGGTTGTTCACCCGATCAAACCTTACATTTTGCCCGCACCGGCTGGAATGACTGTTTTTCCGCGAGATAAGATAATTTTTCGTCATGGCGCATTTCCATTGCCCCCTTTTCGCCGCAAGGTGAGATCTCTGAGGCAGTGTGTAATGTATCACGGCTATTCCGCTAAAACAAGGGAGGAGCGACAGAAAGGCTGGAATGGTAGAGTGAACGCAAGATGCTTACCCCCGTTTGGTGCTGTGTTGTTTCTCGTTGACGGAAGCATGCAAGATTTTTATGGGAAGTACAAATTTGTGTGTGGTGTGTACACCATCTCGTGTTTGGCGTCGGTAGCTCTGCGGATGTTTGCTTGTTCCTCCTGTATGTCTTCCGAGTCGATCCGATCCTGCTTCGCGCAAGGTTGCTCGTGTGTAGCAAATCAAATAGAAATAATTCGCAAGGCAAACCTGGCAGGCGGCTTCGTTTCGCGAGCTCTGGGTGAGCTGTTGAATGTTCATGGTGTACAATTGGAAGTGGCAAGGTCATTGGTTAAATATGACGTATCGAAGTAAGGCGGGCCTGGCAGAGTAACTGTGCGCAGCACCTGGCATATTTTGCTTGGAAAAGCAAGAACTTACCGGAGAGAGAATGCGATATACGGCGTAAAAGCATGGTCGTGTCTCTTAGACTACTGTTTTGGTGGAATACCTACCGATTCTTCACATGGCTTCCCTTCGCCTTTACATGGACACCTCTTGGTCCTATTGTTTCCTCGCCCCGGCCACTATCTTCCTCTTCGCTAAGGCAACTCCAGTATTTATGCCATTTGTACGTAATAAAGGATTTTAGCTTTCTGCCGCTGAGAGTCATGATCCAGGTCGACATAATTAATCGGCCGGTATTATACCACGTGTGGTCCTCCTGGACGACTCAGGAGGGGTTATTTGTTGTGTTGTTTTGCTGCCGATGATGAGTGGTCGATCTGACATTCCGCAGGAAGGGTTCGTGACGCTCCCTCCTCATTTGCGCTGCACAATGAATCTGTCACCGTCACTACGGGAGAGACGCACGGTCCACTAACGCGCAGAGTGCTCTACTCCAGGCTCTTCGGCCACGCACAAATTCTGTTTCACGTATTGGGCCAATTTTTCAATTTTGATTATCTGCAGTTCAGGGTGGGTCCTACGTAATTTTTGGAAAAGTCGAACATCGAACATCGAACAA